ATGTACATTTCCAACTGTATTTATTAACAAATAATTACACTTTTATCAGTTGTATCATTGTTTCGAACCCACCTTGTAAATACACAATTTCCTACGCGAATGGTCAAACTGAATATTCAACAAGTATCCTCTATGAATATACAATAGGTACAGTAGAACTTCACTTATCTGAACCCGTCGGGGGGCAAAACAGTTCATATAATAGGAGTTCACTGATTTTCCCCCATCTATGATTTTTTGTTCACATAATCGGAGTTAGTTGGAATAAATGGATTCCGTCATACACTTGCTTTTTCTTCTACTTATAGTAATATTCCAAGCCTCATAACTTTAGAAATACAGTAAATCATCGATGAGTCTTCGAAGGCTCCTCGGCTCTAAACATTAAATATTTCATAAACTAAGGGCCATATGCAAAACCTCATTAAGAAGTCAGCGTTACACTCGGGCACCTCTTCATGTCAGTGCCGAGGAGCCTTCAAACACTCATCGATGATTTACTATAAATATGTAACAACAATAACGTCGTAATGCTTAGCGAATCAATTCTAATAACGATGATGTAATTTTTTTTAATGTATCGATCTATCGTTTCCATTCTAGGAGCTGAGCAAGAGTTCAGTGAATCTCCTAGAAAAATTTCCTTGGCATAAATGACGTTCGACTGTATAACCTTCACTCCTGACAACTGGTGAAATCTTCTCCAATCATTTAAAACCCTAATTTCCTACACACTATAATTTTATGGTCTACTGGTCAACAGACCTCGCGTAGTACTAGTATTAGCAGCCTACTACACTTATGATGGCTCACGCAAATTTTTAATAATTGTAAAGTTAGTTGAAAATATAACAGAACATTCTTAAAAGCTTCAACTTTCGATTGCGACCAAAAAATCGCAAGTTCAACGATAAAATTATTGAAAAAGAAACGTTATAAACATTTCTTTTTAACACCGGCCTTATGGAACTGTAGTTGATACTGAGAAGTTAATCACTTCTTATTTAATTGCAAAAAATAACATTTTCATAAAAAATTAGGTGATTATAGATCCTTTTACGGAGATTATGATGGCACCGAAAAAATATATGTTAACGGTCAAATAAAACTAAAAATTAAGATCAAAGTATGTAAACTTAGGTTTCAATGCATTTGGTAATATCTTCTCCGCATGTCTGCTATGAGCGTCAACGTCATTTGTTTTCCTTTGGTTTGTTCGACGAACTTTCCATTTTTTTCTTAAAAGTTACAAAAAAAAACATTAAATTTTGTTTACAATAAGAAAAGAAATTTTTGTTTTCTTTTCCACTTATTTGTACATTCTTTTTTCCATTTCATTATTTCGATGTAGTTCGAAATATTAATCATTCAAATTAAACTGGTAAAATTGATAAAAGTATAAAGCGCCATATGGAGCCCCAGCTAGATACGACACCAAACGCCGTGAGCTACCTTAATTCCTAATTCCCTGTAGCAAACGAAAATGTCCGGTTTCATCTGAATTTATTGCCGTAACGTTTGGTGTACTGCTACCGTAAAGTGATCAACAACGTTCACACGTATCGATACCATTCGTTATTCCGCTCTGGTTTCTTTTTGTTGCACAAACAGAGCGTGGCGTTCGCCCTGTTGGACGAGTGCGGGCCGCATTGGAAAAACGCGATTCGCCAACTTTATTCAGTTCACGGACGCGTGTACCGGCCATTTACCTAGGTGCCTGACACCAGCTGGACACCGGCTAATCCTCCTAGCTATCGGTAATAAATTACGGTTTTACAGTGACCCGAGAAGTCTTCAGGCTCGTTAGCCGTGGTGCGTGCAGGTGACGGTTAGCATTTCGTTGGGCGGCTCTCTCGGCGCTGCCGTTACAATACCCCCGCCTTTCACGTCCGTTAAATTATTCCCTCGCCACCGAATCGACGTTGGAGGTTCGACACCTCGAGGAGTAAACGACCGATGTGTGTATACGTGCGATTTAACCGAACCTACATCCACCCCCTCCACTTTCCCGTGCCCCCCTATATGTGTATAGGTATACACTCCGTGTCCCACGTGTTTCTCGGATTCTGCGTACACAGTTTCGGTCTACCTGGCCTGCAACCGAGATTTTATTCACCACCAGGGCGACAATTTACGATGTAATCGGGAACAGTCCCCACATCGGAGACAATAACGTATCGATGTTTTATGTACCTCTGTTTTACTTTATTGAAATTCGATATTTATGATGGTATCCACGCGATAATTTACATGTCGATGACTTTATGGATCTGTTACCGCCGGGGAATTTACGACGACACCTGACGCCTTCCAAGAGTCATCTTCGACTATGATCCCCAGTCTGTTTCAGGTGTATTACATACACTCGCTCGAAAGTTTCGACAGTTGTTTTGAAAGTTTCGCGCACCCGTTTGGACTACTTCGAGAGTTTGGAAGAATTTCAAATACTTGGGATTGATATATAAGTTGGGTTTATTTACATTTATAGACTCGTCGCTGTCTTTGAAGTTAACGGGACCAAGCAATTCTGGATGTATCATTAGAGTTGTAAGTGCACCAATATTTCTCTAAACTGGTGTATAAACAATATATTTTTAGCGAAGGTTCGAGCTATATTTTAGTTGGTATCTATGTTGAAGTTTTGTTGCAAAACAAACGGAATGTTTATGTTCGTCTATATTCTTGAGAAATAATAAACAAGACTGCGAACATTTATGTGAATTCCTCGATTTTATGAAATTTACAAGAACGGACTTGAAACGTAAACTTTTCGCATCTATTAAGAGTTCGATTAAATTAAGAATAAACTAGAATAATAAGCATGTCAAACTGTATTATTCAACTGTATCCAGTCTAATAATAAGCTTTTTTTTTTACAATTACATTTGCAGACTAATGAAACTATTTCTCTGTCTAATTTTAAGTTTAATAATGATTGTTTGCATAGAAAATTAAAGTATAATAATGTTTAATGCGCCTTTTTGTTATATAAAAAATTTGTATCATGATAAATTACTATAATAATTAGAGTACGAATTTTATGCATTTAGAATAGCTGTAACTAAGTGAAACTTATTAAAATGAGTGTTTTAATAAAAACTATCGCAACTTTATTTCCTTGCTTATTTAGTTAATTTATTCGTTAAGGTAATGAGCTTCTAATAAACTCCAGTGTTCATGAACTGATCCATGAAAATGTAAACTTCCACAAACATCCACAGTTCAATAAGAAATTAATTTGTCATCAATAACATACCAAGCTTAAAGAATGTTTTTTTCAAACGTATAACAGTATGCAGAAACAAATTAAATTTTCACGTGATCGAATTAAAATTTTTCCGCTACTTCCGCTTAGACACGTGAATTCCATCTAACATTCCATTACATAATTTATCGCGATATCAGTGGCACGAAATCAACTGATAGTCATTAAACGAAAAGTCAGGCTTTGCGTCTCGTTCTATCTAACGAAAGTTCCGCGGTTATTAATTCAATATGAAAAGATTGCAATGTTGCAAATTTTGAAGTCCGGAATGTATGCATCGATCTTGCATTCTGCCTCATTCCTGTTATTTCGTGTGTTCGTCGATCGTGCCTTATCTGTGCACGATATTTGCGCTGCCAAATACATGGTACGTTCGTTGAGATAAAAGTAAAATTGTAAGTAAAAATATACAGGGTGTCTCAGCTAACTTGATCACCTCGAATAATGGCTTAACGGTACACTTTATGAAAATTTTGAGGCGTGGAACCTAAATGGCATCAAGGGGCACATCTTATAAGGTATGTGCTTTTTCGTGGGTGGAGGCATTTCAGAGATTTCATGGCCATTTTGTTTTTTATTAACGGAATGCCCTATTGTTTGTACCATTGATCGATAGGGTATCAAATTCTGAGTAAAAACGTGTTGACCTTCATACGTCACAAACCTAATAGCTAACGAGATATTTGCAAAATAAATTTTAATACGTACTTACTATCTGGTAGCTATTGTATAATAGATTCAATACAGTGATTATTTTATAAATATTTCGTTAACTATTAGGTTAAGGACGAATGAAGGTCAACACATTCTTACTCAGAATTTGATACTCTATCGATCTATGGTACAAAGAATAGGTAATTCTGTTAACAAAAAATCAAGGTGACCTAGAAATCTCTGAAATGCTTCCACCCACAAGAAATCACGTATCTTATAAGATGTGCCCCTTGACGCCATTTAAGTTCCACGCCTCAAAATTTTCATAAAGTGTACCGTTAAGTCATTAATTTGGATTGATCAAGTTAGCTGAGACACCCTGTATAATAGAAGTTAATTATAAAATTAAATCGTACACAATTATTGTGAAAATAATAGTACGTGTTTATACTATTTACTACAATTCATTAAATGTCTAACTTTTCAGTAATACAAAAATAGTTCATTTATGCTCAGTTTCTGTTCTGGGCATATTTTCCAAAAGTTAAAATAAAGCCGAATTACCCTACTAAATGATGAACTTAGAAAAATTCCAAAACTGTACCCTAATTAACAGTAAAAGAATCTTTCCCTCTTGACATTTTTCATCTATAAAATGGTGTAACGATTCTAACCATTGCAGTTAAAACAATTTAGACTTTAAACTAACGAAGTTCTACCAATGAAACTAAATTTTGAACAATCTCCAGAATTTGCAATAATTTTCGTAAAACAATGTACTGCCTATATTAAATTTATATTATCAGATCAGGAATGCAGATAGATAATTTCTTCCAATCTACAGATTTAACCCACGTAGACTCATCGAATCGCTCTTACGGGATGAACCTAACTTGATTTAAAATCAAGGAAATTAGAACAAAACATACATCACCATCTCAACTCTTTCGAAAAATGTCTCTGTACATACATATTTCTGAAAACTGGAAACTTCCACTGAAATCGATCCGAACGATAGGTATACGAGGTTCACAGAACACAAAGGGGATACGTATAAAACCAAACGTGGCATAGTACTCACCGGGTTTGCAGAGCCGGCTCCAATGGTAAGGATTACAGCATATGTATACGGGGTCTTTAGCGGAATGACAGACAGGAAGTCTCTTGAGCTCGGACGGGTGAGCAAGATCTGGCCACCGCCAAATCTGGCAACAGAGCAGGTGAGGATCGATCGGAGCGTTGCCGAGCGAGCCCCGAATCGGTACTCTGCACCTTTCCGGCCTCATCTGCGAGGCGCACGAGTCCTCGGACCCAGAGTTCTGTTCGTCGTCGTCGTTCTCCAACGAGGACGAACGATGATGTCTACGATGATGCCGATGAAGGTAATGGTGAGGATGCCGGTGATTATAGTGGTTGTGATGATGGTTGTAGTTCAAACGATGAGGACGATAGTACTGTTGCTGTTGGTCCGAATCGTAGACATCCTGCTGATGCTGACGGGGCACAAGCACGCACGAGCCGAGATCGGCACCGAAGCTCTCCACGGCGGTGAGCAACATCTCTAGCTGATTTTCCTTGAGCGACTTGAGTAGGTCCTTGCACATTAATAAACGAACGGGATCCTCGTCATCGTCCTGGGTCGGATCACCGCGGCAACAACCTTGATGTAGTCTACTCGACGAGATACGGCCACCTACTCTCCCTCCACCGCCCCCACCTCGTCCTTCGCTACCGCCGCAGCCGCCGCCGGCTGCACCTCCTGACGACGCTTCACGCGCTCCTTTGGTTGTTTGGCCTGTCGTTGCCGTCACGTTGCTCGTGTCGTTGTCGGTGCCGCTCGTGTTTGCGCGATGAATACGTGACGAATCCTCTTGAGCTTCACACTCGGTTTCATGCTCTCCACGGACCTTGGCCTTTAGGAGACGTCTAGTGAGCGCCGTCCGTTTGCTCCAGAACATGAACATGAAACAGGATTTGCGGTACGCGCATTTGGGGGCCAGTACTTTTTAACGTAGCCGCGCGGAAAATGAGAAATATTCGGAATCAGTGCCGGACGCGGCACCGCGACACCACCGCGCATACACCGGGGCACACACAACTTTCCTTCGCTTCCCTTTTTCTCTCTTTACTCCGTGCAGCTTTTTTTTGCCTGGTTTCCTTCGCCACCTCTGTTGACGTTTTCTTCTTTTTTCTCGACCTTTCTCTCCCTCTCTCTCTCTCTCTCTCTCTCTCTCTCCTTCTCTCTCTTTCACCACTGAGACTACCGTCTCCTGTTCCTCTTTCGCCAACGCGGCGACGACTACCACGAAAAAACAGAACGCGAGAAGTATATACACCGCCGGTTATACACTGTGAAGAAAGAAACAAACACTGCTCCTGTGCCGACACGCATACGACCGAATGGAATCACAGACGAATGACGGTCCCCAACGGCTTCTGACGGGGCCAGCAGCACACGCGAGTATATTTATTTATGCTCTCCGTGTATCCCGTGCACTTTGGATCACGGTCCCGAAATACTGTGACAGTCCTCAGTGGGCAGAACCACGGCTCCGCTTCTCGCTAGAGGCCCGTGGAACGATCGTGGTTGAACACACGGTTCCCCTGCCTGGTGCCTCTTCCCTTTCTTTCTCGACGACGTGAATGTTTCACGAAATTGTGGTCTATTCGGCAAGCGACGGTGGATTAACGTAGAATAACGGGATATCTCTACCCTCGTGGTCTTCGTGCCAATAACTTTTTCGAACGCGTAAACGAGGCTAGGTCGAATACCGTCCGCCGACCTTGAACTCTTATTTACCTATGTGGCCACTGTACACACAAACTGGTCACCGGGCCGATTGGTTCAGGCCAACAGCGTGCGCGCGTTCCCGTCCGTTGATCCCCGTACAATAAGTGCACGACACAACACCGAATTTGTCGCGACAATCCTTCGATCTCAGTCGAGGTGCCTCTTCATCCTCGATATTTTCCTCGAACCGTTTTTCTTACTTCCGTGTCAGAACAGGATTTAAAGCGGTTCGATCGAATGAAACGGGATCGTGACACCGGTCAGAACGTTCCGAATCGACGACACTATTCTCCAGCGTCCCTGTCGTTACGCGACAAAAATTATACGATGATTTATTTGACGTCGAAAACGAGTGCAACGCATAATATAACAGTGAAAAGGCACGAGGGTTTTTCTCTCTATATTGCACGTCGACGACTGTTCACGGATGTCAGCTTTGGTTGTCCATGGACATGCACGGTGCAACGGTCGCCGGCGAGGTTACAGACGCGCACTAATAGTATCACGATACACACTTATCCGCTGGATGTATAGCTGGGCACGGATCGGTGGCGCTCACACACGGCACCGGTTCTTGACTTTTCTTCGCAACGTTGTATGTATATCGACAGCAACGGCGATGGTGCCTTAACCTCGTGACCCCGGTACACACAAACACAAACACACACGGCGCTCGCGTACGAAATCTGCACATACAATCGTGCGTTTCTTTATGTAAAAAATTGTTTTCTACCGTTGCGAATTCTCCACCTTAAGAGATTACTCTGCCAGCCACGGTGTACCAGACCGGTTGATCAATGTCTTTCGAATCTCTGACGTCCCGTCCCTGCAGAATACGGTATTGCCGTTTTCGTTCTTGATACTCCTTTGCCCGTGCCGTCGCCAATGCCGGCGCACCGGCACCACATAACAACAACAACAATAACAACGACGACGAAGACGACGACGACACTTTAACCTCAAATCCGAGATTGTCGCGTCGATCACTCCCCGTCATCCGTATACGCGTATCACCGAGTGACATTTTCCGCTTGCATCGTCCGTCTATTTCTCTTTCTCTCTCTCTCTCTCTCTACTCCTTCACTGTTTTTTCACTGTTCACCGTAACACACTTGTAGCTCGTCACCCATCGCCGTCGCCGGCTTGCGGGCTTATTCGCGCGAGGCGACCGCGAGGACGCGCACTGTCACATTCTTGAAATCGCTGCTCGGGGAGCGAGCGAGAGAAGGCGTAAGACACTTAACTGGGAGGGATAACGCGAGAACAAGACAGACAGATAGACAGAACAGAGAGAGAGAGCGCGCGCAGAATACACACCGAGAAAAAGAGAGTAGGGAGGACTAGCGCGCACAGATCGGATATATAACTCGCGGAGGGCGAGAGAGGTCGAACGGAGAGTGTAGCGCTTTGGTTGCACGTTTAAAACTTCGAACACGTACTAAGAGCCGATAATAACAAAAAGAAAAAAAAACAGTCAGTGTACGTGCGTGGTGGCCGATAGAAAGTGTTACACGTTCAAGTCCCCGACCGAAATGTTACGATGAATCTTGTTAACTGTTTGAACTTCTTCTACTGGTCCGTTCTCGTCTTCGCGCACAGATACTACTGACGTCGTCCCGGGGCAAACTGTTGCGAGGAACAACCGCGATTACGGCCGTAACACGACTCGACTCGACTCCGCTCGACGACGCGACTGGTACGCACGAGGTCTCCGTCATGAGCGCACACACCGATTTCCACCGCCTCTTCCTCCACCACCTCGTCGCCGCCGTCGCTCGTCTCGTCCCGTCCGTCTCGTCTCGGCGCGCCGATACACCGACCGCAGCATACTAAACACACAAGGGAGATTGTTAAACATGGCCGTCGCCGCCGCGCCATTAATTTCACCGTTCGCCACGAGAGGCGCCACCGACGGCGCCATTCGAAGGCACTCGTGCAACATAGACCGTGCCACACTCACGATCTCGTCCGTTTAAAAATTACACGATTCTCATTTCTCTCTTTGCAGCGATACACTTACACCGAGACCATCATTTATTTATCAAAATATTTAAACGAACAGTTTAGCTGACTTATAGCTTATCTGTGAACAACTCAGGTAAATTGTATTCGTACTTCAGAATCACTTGTCTATAAACCAAAGCGTAGGACCTAAAATTTTAACATATTATTAAACTATGGATGCTTTTGCAAATTTAAATTTGTCGCGCCTCTTTCACAGAAACAGGAAATTTAATAGAAATTTACATTTTCTATTGAGAATTTTAAGGGACAATAGTAAAATAACGAGTTTTAGCAGTGTGCCACCCTGGTACTCATCATACATGCATTAAATCTGTAGTCTGGTCACTTCATGTACTGCTTCCACACAGCTATTCCGAAATTTTTCAATCCTCCTATGCTAATCGATCAATGCGTTGGATTTGCTTGAAATAATACTCACATCGAAAGGTTGATGCAAATCGATGGATTGTGGATCTTCCTGCGTTTGCCATCGGTGCAACTAGAACACGTTGTGGAACAGGATAAGTGATGGAATGAGAAGGGGTTGATAACAGGGGGTGAGGAAAGGAAACGAACGAGGACGGGGGGAGGTTAGTCCAGGCAAGAAGGGGGCAAAGAGTAAGGTGGACTCGTTTGAAGACGGGGGCGTCAGCCGGTCGGTCGCGGTTACTCGAGCGGCCGAGCAGACTGACGCCAGCGCCTCTGCGTAGCGCCAGCGCCAGTCACCGGCAAGTATTCCACCCGGAGGGTCAACATTCCATACGAATTTCAGTCCATGATAACTTCTCGCAAGGAGAGAGATGCCTAACTGCCGTGTCATCGGGCTGCATGTGAAAAGAATGTTAACAAAGAACGAGAGGAAAAGAATTTTCCTGTCGTTTTTTTTTCTTTACATTTATGCTTCGCATTGTCTCGAAACAGTACCGATACGCTTCATTCGTATTTACCTACGCGATTTCCAGTTCGGTTGAGAGGAAAGAATGTCCGTGAGGTCATTGACGTGTCTGTAACAAAATTTACTTCTTTACGGGACCCCGGTTATGCTATTCCGAATGCAATAGCTTGTTGGTAGGTAAGTTATAGCTCGAACAATACGGTTCAAGAAGCGTTTATTCGCATGTACACCTATAAAATGTCGGATCTTTGTCTGGTTTTCGCGAAAGAAAAATCAACACGGTTTTGAACTGAACCACACCTTCGAAAAAGTGGTTATAAATAGCGACGGTATTCGAAAGATTAGGAGGAACCTGGAATGGCACGGTGCAATATAAACTGCATGTATAATCTCGTATCGAATGTTTGATTTCGATAATTCTTTTCTTTATGTATAATGCATTACTATTTTAATATACACTAACGGTGATGTCTTGTGTTATGATAAGGGATTTAAAAAAACATCTACAATATGAAAACACTTGACTCGTACAAAATTATCTATCTATTTGTCAGTTGTTTCTGAACAGATGAGAAAATTTAAATAGATATCGTACTCTAGAAGTAGAACAGGCTCCATTAATTTATTTCGCGGAGTCCATATTGAAAATGACTACGAAGAATAAATCAGCGTCTTGACACATTAAAACGCGCGCTCTTTTTCCCCCCGGCGTCGTGTTCGTTTTCTTTTGCGACGTCTAGACGCGTTATTTCACTGTTGGAACCCGCTCTGAAATGATATAGAATTTAGGAAGTTATTTAGTTATGTATGTCTGGCGTCCTGAGCTGGCTAGTAATCAGGCGCCTGGCCTCCGCAAACTGTCCGTCGTTCTTTCTCTCTTTCTCTCTCCCCGGCACGCCGCCTTTCTCTCTCTCGCTCTTTCCCACCATGCTCTGATTTTGTCTCGTTTTATCGTTCGTTCATTCGGTAAAGCCTGGTGAATTCTCCAGGGCCGTCCACGTTCTCGGTGCCTCGGTGTCTTGGTCCAATTAAGTGTTCATCAAGGTACCCTTCTCTCGACTTGTGTACGTTAAGTCGAATGTATAGGGTGTCCAGCAAGAAATGGTGCAACTTAGAATCATAAAAATTTTAAATATAAATCGAAAATATAGAATGGAATTCAGCATACAAGATTTACTCGAAGGAATTAATTTTGAAAATATAGAAGTTATTGTTCTGTTTCATCATTGAATTTTTTATATACTCATCTATTCTTCTCCTCCACGGAAATCTTTAATAAAAGGCGAAAGCTTTAATACGTGATTTAAAGGAAAACCAGAATTTGCTAGATAGATTGCTAATTGATCATTGAATTCTATGTTACTATTAATTTCTCACTGATCTTTTGATGTATACTAAATGGTATTTTTATGTGAGATATACAAAGTTAATTATGAGAAGATAATATTTCTTGTTTTATCAGTCAAATAATTTACTAAACCATCTTTTAATATAACACGCGAGTACCTGTCGAAGCTTCAGAATCGAATTTTGAACGATTAAAGTCTTTTTTTAACTTACATAGCAGAAAGCTTCGTACAAGAAGATTTATTGGAATATGAGAAATTATTATACATTTTTATTCGATACATGCTATGGGATTACGCACGAGATGGTAAAACCATCTTGATCGTTAGAAAAAAGAACCGACTTGCGCGATGACCTTGAGGAATTCTGTTTTCGTAAATTTTACTATTTTTAACATATGCTTTTTGCACATTGACATTAAATTTTATTTTCTTCCTTCAACTACCTTTTGTAAGGTATATTACTGTTTCCAAACATTCGCATCGCTAACGACTCTGTAATAACTCACTGGAAGGTTAAATAAATTCGGAAATATAAGAAATAAACTTAATAAATTAGTTAAATCTACTACTTTATAATTACTTCTGAATGCCTAAAAATATCTAAATACGATCCATCTTTCCGCATATAGTGTTCATTATACAAATAAGTCCAACTGCTTCATTAGAAACTCAGAAACATTCATTCATCGATTCTACTAAAAATAAGAATTAAATACGCGTTATCTCCTACAAATTTATTATCCTATTAAAATGCTATATCGGCATTTAACACATGTTCTACCGTCATGTAAAGACATCCTAGGAATATAAAAGAATGTAGTCTACTTGCTGAACAGTGTTCGAGCTCGTGTGCACCGATGTTCGCCGAGTTTTACGATATTATTAACATTCCTAAACAAACAAAAATGCGCCAACGGGAATCCCGAATCCCGTCCATACTACTCCATCCGACTCGGCTGATTATACGTTTGTCTGTCCTGGAGGAAAGGCCACGAAATTAC